AAAGTCTGAATAAAGAAATAAAATACACACAACAGTGGCCTTTCTACGATTACGTACATTACATATGAAGATGTTTGAAGTGTTATTCTCTCTATACCAGATATTAGATTTTGGTTCTATGTTCGGTAAGTTGTATTAAAACTCTTAATTAACAAACAACCTTATTTTTTTATCATCAATACTATTAATAACATTAGCTTCTGAAACACTTGCATCAACAAGAACCGACAGGCCGACGTTAACACGTGTTTCGTTTGTCTTTCAGGGCCAACTCGAGAATGTCGAGAACCTGAAAAGCCGACTGAAACCGAACACGGCCGAACTACTTTTTGTGACACCGTCGTATTCCTGCGGGGTTTAAAAATATAACACTTCAAGATGTCATCTTAATTCAGTTATGGCATTTAGATGGTGCACCACTTCACAACAAATGAAGAGCGGAAGATTGATTGATTATTACGGGTGCCGGTGAAAAAGTGAAATGTAATTGATAGCGTTTCAGCTTTATTTTGTTTTTTTTTTTCGTTATTTTATTTTTTGAATTCAGTTTAAGAACAATTCAATATCAGTTTTTCGGTGGTTATGTGCTGTTGATTCATTTATGCTTCATGAAGGTAAGTCATTTATTTTCATTTCTCAAAATTTTTGGGATTTTCTCTCCTTGTCTCTATGAAAAAAAATAGTATCACTTCAATATAGAAATCGATTTGCACTAATTGCTCTGAAATATCGCTACCCTGTTTAAACTGTCATCATCAGAAACCTATAGATGAGAAATTCATTCGATAGTCAGTGACACACATTGTTCGCAAAATGACAAAATTGCTGAGACATAGAGCTCCCTCGTTTAATACAAATCAAAATAAGTTGATTGGATCCAATTTATTTATTTAACAAGATGTACTGTTTGTCCGTGAGACGAGTTCAAAGTTTACATAAACGTACACACTTTTGTACACTGTTCAAGAATGAGTGAAACAAATTAGATGAAATTGGGCAAAAAAGCATCATTAAAGAGGATTTCCCCCTTTCGGTAAACAAATAAACCCAGGAGAAATTGTGGAAGGGTTGAAACCACCCTCGCCTCCTGACATTTCTTTCAGAACATTCTTAGGGGTGAGAATGCGATTCTCAAATTTTCTGAGTGAGATGAGTGATATATTATCTTCATTTTGTCACCGTTGTGAAAATGTTGTATTCCGCATAGTTCCGAAAGAAAAATTTTTTTCTTAAATAATGCTAACCGATATTATAGGCCGATATTCTTAGAAAAAGTTCAACATCATTATAATGGGAAATTTAGTTGACAGTGGAAACAAAAGCAGAACGTTTTTTTTTAATCAATGTTCAATATTGAGCCCACCTTCATCAATACAAATATCAATTCGTTTGGTTCCACTGCCAAATAATTTTGTATTACAATTTTATCAAACTTTAACTTGGAATATCTGTTAACATCATTCAAGAAAACTTGTTTTTCCTTCAGAACTATGCGGAATACGAAATTTTCACAAAAGTAACAAAATGGAAGAATGTTCTGAAAGAAATGTCAGGGAGTAAGAGTGGTTTTAACCCTTCTAGAATTTCCTTCAGGTTTCTATGTTTACTGAAAAAAGGGTTATTCTCTGAAATGCACTTTTGTCGAATTTCCTCCAATTTGTTCCACTCATTTTTGAACAGCATACAAAGATATATTTTTATGTAAACTATGAACTCACGGGTACATTTTTCATATAAATAAGTTGGGTCCAATCAACTTATTTTGAACTGTGTAGCACACGTGGTAGCTCCATGTCCCACCATTTTTGGGACATCCTGTATATTGATTGGAGAATAGTTTTGAGATTCAGATTCAGAGTTATAAAAGCGATATAAAAGTAACTGAAACCATTCTGACACTGAGATGACATTGTGATCAAAATTGATATAAGAGTGAATTTTGCTATAAGATTTTGAAATTATAGCCACTAAGCACGAATATTTTTAACAAATTCGTACCTTCCTTCTGTACTATTTTGCAGCCGCCATCTCTTTTGTTTATTTCTCTAACATGAATGTCATGATGTGTCGCAGTATTGTTATTATAATGCTATTGTAGTTCACACTGTATTATCTTCATTAGATAGCGGAAAGAATTAATGTCGAGTTGATTGAAAATGAAGAAAGAGAAATCAATCGGATATTTTCTTGATAAAAAATACACTGAAATCAGTATTTTACATGGTCCTTCGAACCGGATAGATCTACAGGGTGAAAATTGAAAATTTCACGGTAAGGAAAATGTCGCAGTTCTGTTATTGAAATGCTATTGTAGTTCACACTGTATTATCTTCATTAAATAGCGGAAGGAAAGTTGAAATTTGTTATAAAAAAAGAATTAATGTCAAGTGGATTGAAAATAAAGAAAGAAAAGTCAATCGAATATTTTCTTGATAAAAAAAAAACTGAAATCAGTTTTTTACATGATGCATTGTCACCAGAGTTATACAGGGTGGGGCATTTGAGCGTCGGAAATCGATTGCTCGAGTTCTATGATAACTAGAAACTCGATTTGGAAACGAATGTGAATGGGACAATGAGGTCCATCCCTAGAAATTATTGTCTCATATACAGGGGGATCTTGAAAATATCTACAGGGTCAGGATAACTTCTTTTAAATGGAATGCTCTGTATATTAGCACATTATTTGAAGCATCTCTGTGATCTCTAACAACTCCTATGATATTGTTGACTATATCTCGATCATTTCAAAGTTATTAATTTTTCTGTCGAAATAATGTCATCTCCAGATGTATACCGAAAAAACCACAGTAGTCACAATTATTAATTTCTAGAAAAAATAACCATTATATCCTTTGATGGAAATATTTGCGATATTTTTGTAGAATTTTCATGCCCTCAAATTATACAGGGTGGATAAAAATGATTTTTCAATTCAGAGAACTTTTGGAAGTGATTTTTGTCGAGTTTTTCAAATAGAACACTCCATATATTTTTAGGCCATTTGGTAAAAAATCTAAACACGAACATCTTTCGTCTCAACATCCATATTGATCATCGTAAACATTTTTGAATTATTGAACTTCGAAAATTATAGGTTGGCCATTTTCATGGATACACATTCTCATCTGATATTGAAACATGAAATGTCCTATTAATAATTTATTTAACTCGTTTCTTTATTGGAAGAATTGATACCAGAGTCGAAGCAAACAAAAAATAGTTAATATATGCTAGTTATGCACAAAGTGAAAAAAAACAAAATTCCAATTTTGCATAATTGTGAGTTATTATCCTGGTTTTGTTTTTGATGTGCTATGAATTTATGGGATATTGTGAAAATGGATTTTTTCTTCACTTCGTGAATTACTAGTATATATATATATAAAAATAATATATCTGATGATTGCTTCAATTCTGGTTTCAATTCTTTCAATAAGAAAAAACAAGTTCACTTAATTATTAATTGGACTTTTGATGTTTTAATAACTGATGAGAATGTGTATCGATGAAAATGGCCAATCTATAATTTTTGAAGTTCAATAATTCAAAAATGGTTACGAATATCGATATGGATATTGAAATAAAAAATGGCCTGAAAATGTTCTGAAAGACTTGAGTACAATCCTCGGTACAATCACTTCCAAAACTTCTGAATTGAAAAATCATTTTTAGCCACCCTGTATAATTCGAGGGCATGAAAATTTTACAGAAATATCACACATCTTTCCATCAGATGATATTATGATTATTCTCTGTTGAATTCCATAATTGTGATCACAGTGATTTTTTCGGTATGCATCTCCTTATTTTGACAAAAAAATTAATAAATTTGAAATGATCAAGATATATAGTCGACAATATTATAGAAGTTGTTGAAGGCCACAGGAATGCTTCAAAAAATGTGATCCTGACCCTCTAGATTTTTTCCGGTGTCCTCTGTATATGCGGCAATAATTTCTAGTTATGGACCTTGTTGTCTCATTCACATTCGTATTTGAATCAAATTTCCAGCTATCATAGAACTCGAGCAATCGAGCTCCCACGCAGTAATGCCCCTGTATACACCTGCCAAATTTCAAATCAATCGGACGATTAGAACTGTGTCTTATTCCACTTGCAAGATTTGATTACACACACTCAAACTGGGACAGGTGGCAGTGAATAAAAGCTTGTACAAATCGCCTGCGCCCATATGGTACAAAATGGTAGCATCCATGGGACATCAGGAGTCTGGACTTGTTGGTTTTGTAGACCCCCAGTATTAATAGGCCAATAGAACCATGTGAAGAAATATATAGGTTTCTATTTTTTGTAATAAGAAAGATGGTACCGACTTTCGGCACACCCCGTATAAATAGAGGTAGAAAATAATTAAGGTTTATTGAAAATAATTGATCACAGCACACCGATTTTCAAATTTTCAATCCAACTGAGACAATATTTCACATTCATTAGAAATATTAGTAAGTATTTCAGATTGTCGCAGATTTTTTTATGATTATCTAGTGCTAATCTAGTACTACCTGGGCTAATATACAGGGAGACCCATTTGAAATGGAACACCTTAAACGACCCTTGGAAGAAATCAATAGTAGAAAATTTTGTAATGTAAGAACTATATAATATGCTCTATTGATAATTTTGAAGTGGTATTCAACCCATCAATTTACCTCTTTTAGGTATGGAACGGAAATATTGCAGTAACATCATCAAAGATTGAAAATTTATTAATTTCAGAGGATAAACCTTATGTCATAATAACAGCTCAATTCCTTTCTAATGGTGTAACACTCAAAGCTATAAGAAAAACTGGAAAAGAAGTCACTTCGACTAGCAGTTTCCTCAACATAAATATCCTTGGTATTTGAATAATATACCTACTCTTTGAAAAATTTCAACAACTTCTCATGAAATAAACTTGATGCTTCCTGGACTACAACTGTAGCCACTGAGAAAATAAACGCACCAACTTCCAGATGCTCCTCACATCACACGAAATGGCCGACCACTTCTACAACCCCATCAACCACCTCACCCAAGCCGAACTCATGGAGAAATTCAACCTGGCCTTCTACGAAGCCCAAAACCTCACCAAAAACGACATCATCTCCACCTTCAACGAAACCAACCCGGAAACCACCCAGATCGACGAAACAAACGACGACAGCCTCATAGACTACTTGATCTCCAACGATGACACCCCAGCCTCGACCCCTAACAGCGAGGCGGACGTCAACTTCGACTTCAACGACTTCGTGGTCGACTTCGATCAGAACCTGAGCCAGAGTGGCGATTGCTTCGACTCAGAAACCTACACCACCGAGAGCACCAACGCAGAGTCCGACTTCAACGCTGATTTCAATTTCTCGCAGTTCTTCGTTCCGCCGCCGTTTGCCGATGACAGGCGAATCGAGGAAGAAGAAGAAGAGCTGATTGACATAGACCTATGCGAGGAGCTGGATTTGGATTTTGACGGGCTGCAGACGGAGTTTCAGGAGCTGGGAGGCAGTGGTGAGGTCTTTGAAGAAGACAGAGGAAGTCTTCTGCCACCTGTAGGGACTATCACCAAGACCAACGTGGATTTCAATAATTTCCTGAGGAGGACGCCAGCTGAACAAGTCTCTTATTTGAATCAGGTATGTGAAAGAGTGTTTGTTCTTTCAAGTCTCCTTATTTTCCTAAGCTGACATCTGCTACCAAGAGACCTTCTGATGTGTTTTCTTTCGTTTGTTTATTTTCGACTGAACAAATACTGTCTGCCAGTCAATGGCGCTAGTTTACTAAAAACATCGAGAGCTCATTTGTTCCAATGCATACGTTCTGCCTGAATCCAATCACTAACACCATCCTCACAGGACTCCCTGAACAGAAACGACTTCGGCCACTTGATAGGCACCACCAGCTTCGTCCCTCAGCCCTCCTCTGAGGATTTCTTCCCAGAGGACAACCACATGGTCCTCAAGCAGTCGGAGGCCCTCATCAACGACGACCCACTGCTCAGCTCCAGCTGCCTGACGATGATCCCTCTGGGCAGGAGAGGCAGGGAGGAGGAATGTGAGGAGGAATGTGAGGGGTTCAGGGGCTCGGAGGGGTACCAGTGCAAGTGGGAGGGGTGCTACGGCACGTACGAGTCACAGGGCTCGTTGGTGAGGCATATCGAGAAGTGTCACGTGGAGCTGAAGAGGGGTAAGGGTGTTTCTTGATTATCAAGTGATAATTTTCACATCAGTTTATCGAATGAATAAGAGACATGGTTGTGAATAATGTATAACGAGACCAATAAACTTCGTTTTTCTGCAACCGACACAAAATCGTTCACGTTGATACCAAAATTAGCTCTTGAATCGACGTTTCCATTATTGACACAAAAATAGGTATGTTGCTAGACACATTTAGTTCCTTGGAGTCGAAATTGAACTTCAGTTCCTAGGAGCTGAAGTTGAACTTTATCTCCTAGGAACTAAAAAGAATGTACTAGAGGTCATCAACATGGTTGGCTATTTGGGTTGGGACGCATACCTGATGATTTGTTTCCGATTTCGACAGATTTGGTATTCCATACTCATGCTGGAGATATATGTACAGTATGATGCAAATGTATGGAATAAATTCATTATTTCAGAAATGGGCGACATTTGAAAAAATTCCAAAAACACGTGAGTTTTAATTTCTGAAGCCTCATCTCATGATATTCATATGAGAGATGTTACGTCACCGGTGTTGGAGTAAAGACGTAATGGACGATTTTTTCAAATACAAATAGGGGTCATGTGACACCTTGATTGAAAGGTCTACCGATCGTCTATTCAACAGTCAAAATGTTACATAAGAAGATTGAAATTAAAATGGATTATCATGTGATTAATTGAATCTTGCAGAGGTCTGCTACTGAGAATTGAACATAGAAGGGTCGTCTAGTTAAAAAAATACGTCGAAAAAAAAGTTCTAAACTCTAGTTTTTGGTTTTTTTTTCGAAAGTCGTCTATCTTGAAGTTGAATTAAAAACTCGAACACTGGTATGCTGTTATTGCTGTTATAATCGGCCATTTCCAATATACCTGAAATATTCTAAGTCCTTCAGCTATACAGAGTGTGCCAAAACACCAACTATCTTATTTTGAAGAGATACCTACCTATATTTTTCAAACACGGTTCGATTGGCCTTCTAATTCTGAGTTCCGAGAACCTGATTTTTGTGAACAACAATTCTTTCGAACAAGGAAAATTTTTCAACATCAATTCAACAAATTTATTCGAACAATGCTGACTAATAAAAAGTGTATTTTTTTTCAGGTGAAGAATTTACATGCTTTTGGGATGATTGCCCTCGAAAAACCAAACCGTTCAATGCGAGATATAAGCTTTTGATCCATATGCGGGTACACAGCGGAGAAAAACCAAATAAATGTCCGGTAAGTTTCTACTCATATTTTTTCATCTATTGGGGCGCGCGATGGTGCATCCCGATAATGTTCGGAAAACATCGTGCGTACCTATAGGGGGAGTTAGGAGTTCTTGGAAATACTTCCTTGAGCAATAGACTATAGACACACGAGTATAAGGATGTGCTGACTGGGCTTGTCTAGTTCGTCTGACTGGTATTGCTAGTGATATGGAATGATAGCAGAGATTTCTGACGAACATTTCTCGTGGAAGTATCTATAGAAGAGTGTTAGTGCTTTAAGTATACAGCGTAGCTCACTTTAAACGGCCCCTCTCCCGCTGTATCTCAGCTATTACCCGATATGAATAACCATCAATATTGAAAAGGAATATTCTCAGATAAATTATGAACATGAAAAAATGGATAATTATATTACAGAGAAGTGCACAAGGACTGTAGCTTTTGAATTATTCGAGAAAGGATTTTGAAAATTGGTGGGTAGCAAGTATACCGAATTGCTTAATAATTGATGAAACAATCGGAAATCACCCCAACTTTTGATTTTTTAATGGGACACCCTGTATTGTATTTCATAAACGGTTAGGGATTATCATAACGAATTCAACACGATGCCGGGTTTGATAGGGTACCTAATTTAAAACGATTACAAAGATATTTACGTTCGAAGTTTCCATATGTTCAATGGGTGTGACTTCGCAATATCAAAACTTCTGTCTCTGTCACACTCATTGAGCATATGAAAACTGAGAACGCGAATATCTGCGTAATCGTTTGAAATAACCCTATCAAACCCGGTATCGATGAATTTGTTATGACAATACCTAATCGATTATGGAATACAAAACAGGGTGTTCCTATTAAAAATCAAAGGTTGGGGTCGTTTCCGGTAAAACGGGAAGTGATAGGAGAAAAATGGTTTCATCAACTGATGAACAATTCGGTATACTAGCTGCCCACCAATTTTCAAAACCCTATCTCTAATAATCCAAAAGTTACAGTCCTTACCGTTTTTTGTGCACTTCTCTGTATATATAAATAAATACATCGAGAATTCGTATTCTAAATCCAATCTAAATCCAATATCGGCGGACCATCCGAGATGGCGGAATAATTATTTTTGATCTACTTCTACAATATGGGTATCATAAAAGGGCTCGTTGAGAGCAAGTCGAAAAAAATGTGGCGTCATTTTCTTAATCCAATATGGTGGAACATTCAAGATGGCGCGGAATAGTTATCCTTGATGCCCTTACACAATATATGGGTTGCAAATGGAAGTTATTGTTGAGAGTAACTCGAAAAATGATGTGTAGTCATTATAAATCCAATATGGCGGACCATCCAAGATGGCGACATAGTTATTTTCAATCTACTTCTACAATATGGCTATCAAATGAAAAAGTTCGTTGGGATCAACTCGAAAAATGATGTGGCGTCATTATAAATCCAATATGGTGGAGCATCCAAGATGGCGAAATAGTTCATTTTAATCTACTTCTTCAATATGGTTATCGAACCAATCCAATATGGCGCGCTATTGAAGTTTTTTGTGCTTTCCTACAGAATGAAAGGGTTCGCTGAGAATAAAAATGCAGGCTTAAAAATCGATTTTTTAACTTCAATTGATTGACTTAAACTTGTGTATTTTGGCAAGATGGGCGTCATCAGCATTGACCTAAAAAATAACTGAAAAAAAGCTATTATTTAATTGCTCTGAAAGAAGAAAATGAAAAGTTTCCTCCTAAATTTTAACTATTAACTCATATAACCTCATTATACACAATTTATATAATCATCTTGTCGCAATGATCAATATTCAATCAAATTGAGATTTCAACAATTTCACTTAGCAGATTTCACTTAAATAAATTAGTAGGTACTTGTTTATTCACACAAGTAAATCGTAAGTTTGAATTCTTAAAATTTTAATTTAATTAAATATTGATCACCGCGACAAGCTTATAATATGATAATGTGAATTGTGTAAATGAGGATATAAGTTGATATTTAAAATATAAAAGGAAAATTTTACATTCTTCCTTTTAGAGCGTTTAAATAGAAGCTTTTCCTTTTAGTTTTTTTTTACTTCTAATTTATTTTCCCAATAAAAACGCGAGGCATTGTTCAAAATGACAAACATCATTGACTCTGAAAAACTGATGATAATGATAGGTATTCATAGTCCCAATTTGGGAAGAATTTTACGATCAATCGCTAAGATATATATATAGAGGGGACCGATTAAAGTGAGACACGCTGTATAGTGTATATAAATATTCGCTCGTATCGGATTCCTGAAATATTCGGGACAAGGGAATCTTGAAAAAAAATAATTAGCGAGTACTGACACGGAAAAAAAATCATCTCCAGCATAGAAAAACAGGGTGAGTCAAACAAACTTTGTATTTGGATTCCTTCTACTTCATATCGAGGTGAGAGGTTCTCATCATCGTAACTATGTCCTAAAATGCATCTTTTGTGAGATACAGGGTGTCAACAGTACGAAAAAAACTGAGGTTTATATCAATTTCTTCTAAACCCCTGTCGGAACAAATTCAAACTTGGTAATGAAATGCAAATACCCAGCAAAACACGTCGTTGAAATATACTGAACATATGTTAATAGTTCCTGTGTCGTATTAATGCACATTTCGGGTCGTCAATGACCTCTAAAAATTTGATACCGGCATGGTCTTGGCCAATTTAGTTTCACAGGCAAAAAATGAATGAGAAAATATGTCATTCATTTCGGGAATGATGACGTTATTTCCGCATCTATAAATTATAATACAGAGAATGAAATGAATGAGCATATAAACAATTCAGCACTCGAAACTATGATATCAAGTCAAGAGTCAAGAGGAAGGTCAAAATAAAGGAAATAACCCTGTATACTGTGTCCCATTTTGGTTGAGACTGCACTGTATCTCAGCTATTATTGAAGATAGAGACATGCGGTTGACGCGATCCTGTATCACTTTTTTGTAAAACTTGCAATACCATAAACAGAAATATTCCAACTACTTTTGTTCCAGAATACAGGGCGAAAACGGAAATGTTCACATTTGGAGATGTTATTATATCTCAGGCCCGTTATAAGATGGAAAAGAAGTGAAAACTGCTTATAATAGATATTTTTACATAAAAGTGGCGTATAGAGCACTGTTTTTAAGATTGGGCACAAACTTGGTATTTTTTAAATGAAACACCCTGTATACTTTAACATAAATTTTATGCAATTTTTTTTCTGAATACACTGATATAATATCACAACCTAATCTTCATTACATTTTATCTTCAAAAACCAGTAAAATCCATATTTGTGTTTGTTTTTTAATAGTAGGCCGTGAATTCTTTCACACATGCATTTATTCATCATATAATTTTTACAATTTACAGTGATTCCGAATGATTCGAATATAACTTGAAATTAATTGAAACATTTTTGTCATGAAATCTTCCGGGCACTTGGTACATAAATAACTAATGTTTTCATTATTCCAGTTCGAGGGATGCAACAAGGCCTTCTCGAGATTGGAAAATTTGAAAATACACCAGAGGAGCCATACAGGGGAACGTCCATATCTGTGCCAATTTACAAGCTGCACCAAAAGCTTTTCCAATAGTTCAGACAGAGCGAAACATCAACGGACTCATTTTGATACCGTAAGTGTTCACGCATTGTTAGTTATAATGCGATTAGAAATTGTTATTTTATGTATCAAGGGCGTAAAATAGTATTTTCTTGGGACATTCTTGGGATGTTGCTGGCATCATCCGTGTCAGCATTTGCGATGTCTTATAAACATCCCATCAGCATGTTTGTGGGATGATATGGGATGTATACCAGAGACATTCAGGGTACTTGATATGGAACATATTTCAGGATGTTTTTTGTTTGATGACAGTAATGGATGATACGGTATGAATTATTCTCAATCTGAGATCCTGAAAATGACCGACCTATCTCCAGACTTCTCCAGATATAAAGTAACAATCCGAATCCGATAATGTCGGTGCGGTCCAATAACTAATGGAAGATGATAACAGTTGCTTGAGGCTCATATTTGTTGGCGCTGGGCCGACGGCTGTTAGTAACTCTTAGCAACGTAGTTGTACCGCCATCTATCGGCTGGTATAATAAATAAATTCAGCAATAAATATGCTGAAGAGATATATTTCAATTTTGTCGTTTATTACATGGTTCATGAGGTTAAGCAGGTATTTTGGTAATCTTATTGAGGAATATTTAGTATAATTATTTCAATTTGTTATCGATGAAATTAGCCGGCTTTGGTATAGGTATAAGTGTATGAGTACGAATACAGTTTTGATTTCCATTTTTTACCAACTTTTCAATGTTTCAAATGTTACAATTATTGTTTGAACTGTTCAATCATGTCAATCATCATTAGCAAAAATGGAACCATGATATTGTTTATAAAAAAAGATCAAATGGGATGTTTCTCGAACATCCAATGAAAACATCTGATGGATGTCCCAAGAGAAATATCTCTGGGATATCGTATCTAAGTCTGAAACATTGGGACATTTGTAGGACCTTAGCGGGATTTACCAGCAAGATCCCGTGTTGTTAGGGATGTTCCTTCGTCCTTACTGACATTTTGGGGCAAATCATCCGATTTGTCCTTCCCTACCCCTAATAGCACACAACGTCCTAGGGACGTCCCTTTTTGGTACAATTCACGTCCGAATATCCCGAACCAAAAATAAGTGTCCTTGGGACGTCCCATCCCGTACATTTCATGCAATGTCCGAGCAAGGACGTCCACGGAATGTCCCAGCTGGTACACCATTTCAGATGACCTAAAAATAGCATCCTTTAGACGTCCCACGTGGTACATATTGTAGAATGTCCATGCAAGGACGTCCTTGGCATGTCCCTGATGGGATATGATTTTAAACGTTCCTTTAGGGACATCCATCGGATGTCCCGAGTAGTACATATTCTGGCATGACTTCAGATCTTATATAATGTCCCTTCTAGATAACCATGAAATGTCCCTGATGGTACATTCTCTCAAATATCACTGCACAGACGCCCTTAATATTTCCAGGATAGTATAACGATCGAAATGTCCCTTAAAAAATAACGTCTTATGGACGTCCCAGTCGGTACTTTCAATATGTCGTCCCTACGAGGACGTTAACTTACACCTCGCCGACGAATGATTGCTCGTAGGCTATAAGTACTCCTCGTCAATGTCCTTCACGTAAGTCCATTGGACATCCTTGGGAAACTTTTTGGGGACCTTCTACGGACCATCAACTCAACTGGATGTCCTAATCAGTTATGGAAGATCTGGTCCTAAAGGGACCCAGAAAAATTCAAATTCAAAAATAATTCGTACTTCCGTGGGACATCCTATGGACATCCAATTGATATCCCTCACCGTTGATGATAGGTTGTCCTAAGGATGTCCTCTGTAGTACTTGATGAGGGATACTGTAGGACATCCCTCAGGGACGTCCCTAGTTGGTCCTCAAGTGGGACATTTGTGCGTCCCACAGACGTCCGATGGACGTTCACGGTACCAAATTCGAACGTCCTGAATGTCCCGACAGGACGTCCTAAGGATATCCATGGGACATAAGTGTGTTGTTAGGGTTACTACACGTATATTGAAATAATATCCATATTTTTATTTTATAGAAACGAGGAGAGAAAGTCCCAAAAAATCTGGAATAATGATTATACTTTAATGTTCATTGCATAAACACTATCGAGGAATAATGCATCGTAACCTTCTGTGAAAATAAGTAAAAATAATGTTCTGTAAATAAACATTCATTCATTCATTCATTCAGTGTGTACCACCTCAATGCGCTTAACGTGTTAACAGAAAATCATTTCAGAAACCCTATGCTTGCCAAGTGTACGGCTGCACGAAGAAGTACACCGACCCCAGCAGCCTCAGGAAGCACGTCAAGAACCACACTGTGGAAGAGCAGATGCAGATCAAGAGGCGATCGAACGAGGAAGGCACGAATTTCATATCCCAGTCGCTGGCCAAGAAGTTCCTGGACCCGAGCAAACAAAAGGCCGTTAAAGAGGTCGTCTACTATACCACCTTCGAGCACAGCTACTCCCACACATTGGTCGAGAAGAAATGTGACTCGATGAACATCAAAAGGGATTTGAAGAATAAGATATCCGAGAAGTCGAGAATGAGAAAGGGTTATTCCGTAATATGACTGGCTTTGATATCTAAAAAATATTTAAGGTGATCATACAAATGATCCTGGTATGAAAGGTTTTCTTGACAAGGAGAAGCTGAGAAGAGAACTGGTGGATTCACAAGTTTTCTAATGATTTGAGGATGACTTTCACTGTCGATAATGCGATGTCTTTGGAAATCAAGGTCTCCTCCATTATGACATTTCTAATATCAAATTTGTTTTCAACATCTCGCAATTGGTGCGTTCGGTTTAACAAAATCGGAGCCGAGCAAGCAGATGCAGATTTGGTGTCACGTGATCACCTAGCTGATAGAGCTAAAGATATTTGAAGAACGCTCAACGAGGCAGTAGATTGCGAGCGCCAGCTGTCAGAAGTAACAGAAAACAGAAACAATGCACTTAACCTTATTACTTTTAAAAACACGTCAGGGTAACAAGGTTCTTTTGAATGTGTGTTGCTTACTTGGGTTTATATTTTGAAAATTACTAGGGAAGGAATGATTCAGTCTCATATGATCGGCCATTAACTGTGGATCAGGGTAGTTGTGATCGCATATATTACAGATATATAATTGATATGCTACCTACAGCAAATTCGTCGATCATTCTAGCGATTCTGGGCAAGGAGGATTCTACAAAATTCAGTTTCGTGTTTCGTTTCCCGTTTATCAAGTCTTTAATTTTTCCACACAAAAGAGATATGTTATTTCAATAACATGTTGTTGACACTGATTTGTTGACAACTGACAACCGAATAACCGATCAAATCTGAATGATCTGCTCCTCAAGGCGGAGCAAACAGATTACATCTTTCAGCTCGCTCTGACAACTAACGAACACGGACCAGATTAGACAGAGGAAGTAGATCTGATTTATCGAACGCTTTCCGAACTAACAGATGGAATCGAGTTAACAGATATGTTATAACCGAACCACCTGAAGCTATAATTATAGTAATTTCCAACCAAGTATAAGGATTCAGTATTTACAAACCACTAGAATATCACTAGGGACCACTTGAATTTACATACTAATATGCCCACACAGCACCGGAAGTCTTAAAGACGTCCATTTTATGTCCATATAATGTCTGAACGTCCACAGGCATAGAATGGACGTCTTGAAGACGTCTATCGTTAGACGTCTCAGAGACATCTAGAAATGGATGTCCCAAAGATATCTGAAAAAGAGGCAGTATATTCAATTTTGATTCAGAATGAATGATTATTGCTGATGTTTTTGGTGAAATTATTGGGTCCACAAGCATAAAATGGATGTCTTGAAGACGTCTTTGATCCCGGTGTGGAGGATATTCTTGACGAGGAGAAACTGTCAAAAGAACTGGTGGATTCACAAGTTTTCTAATGATTTGAGGATGATTTTCACTGTAGATAATGCGATGTTATCAAAAATCATGCTCTCCCTCATATGACATTTCTATTATCAAATTTGTTTCCAAGACATCTCCCAACAATGAAGCCATAATTATAGTAATTTTCAACCAATTAGCGATGGAGTATTTACAAACCACTAGAATATCACTAGTGACCACCTAAATTTACATACTAATATGCCCTTACAGCACCGGAAGTCTTAAAGACGTCCATTTTATGTCCATATAATGCCTGAATGTCCACAGACATGAAATGGACGTCTTGAAGACGTCTAGCGTAGGACGTCTCAGAGACGTCTAGAAATGGATGTCCCAAAGATGTCTTACTAAAATCCAGAAAGAGAGGCAGTATATTCAATTTCGATTTAGAATGAATGATTATTGCTGATGTTTTTGGTGAAATTATTGGGTCTACAAGCATAAAATGGAAGTCTTGAAAACGTCTTTGAGACGTCTTTTTGCTGTCAGGAAAAGTTTTCAAGACGTCCAGTTTATGTTCGATCGGACGTCATAAAGACATGTTTAAGACGTCCGATTTTGTAACAACGGACGTCTCGAAGACTTCTGATGGACGTCTTTGAGATTTAACGGGATGTCTTGAAGACGTCCCGAATGTCTTACGTCGCCGTCTTGAAAACGTCATTGAGACGTCATTTAGTGCTGTTGGGGTGAGGTATCTATCAGATGTCAAAATATTTTCAAATGTAGTATTTCACTAGAGATCTCAATATTCAGTTGAACACTGGTACTGATATATCTAAAAAAAATAGAATTCGAGATATATACAGGGTGACATGAAAAAAAGTACATCGCATAGTGCCACACAATAAAGGATACTGAAACAAGAAGAAATCATTTCCATAAACAGGGGTCTGCAAGGCCATCGGTTAAAAGATACGGGGTGTTTAAGTATTTATGATTGCTTCTGCAAATGAATTGAAAAAATCGAAATTCAACCCCAGCGAGCACAAAAACATCTCAGAAATGTTAAAAGTACGAGATTTCGAGACATTGAACCTCCACTGCGATGTTCTGTTCACACATGAATAGAACTATTATAGAACAGCCAATTTCCGCCGCAGGCGGCAATTATCGAGATGTCCTTGACAAAACTACCTTCTCCCTAGTTCTTTTTAAAGCCTTTTCATGGACACAACAAAAAAATTTTCAACGCGTCTTGCGCACATTAAATCGCTGTAATAAAAACATTTTCGAGGTACTTTTCTGAAGCCTTTTGTCAAAATGAACTTTTGCATTAGGATTCCATTTCCTTCGAATGAAAAAATGCATTAAAAATAGATTGAACATAAAAATATTTTCTTGATATGAAATCACCTTCTTAATCGGTTTCTGAGTAGTGCTTACTACACACAGACATATAATTGGAAATAGATTTCCCAATTTTTGAAATGTTCTCCACAATGCATAATTATGCAACTGCGGAGAAGCTGTGTATTAATAAATTCGTACTTTTATATATTGATTACACTGAGGCACCGAACAACACATCTTGCATCTGATGGTCATTATTACAAACTAAATAAGTCTTCTAACACAATAAACTCCACCAAATTCCTTTCTGTTCGTTAGCAGCGTGATGTAAGCGTGACACGCTGCAAACGCGAATGCCAATTGCGAACAAGAAGAACAAAATCGAAAACAAATCAGAATTCATCGTATTGTGACGTAAGCATGAGACGTTGTGGTGGGGCAAACAAAGAAAGGGCACAAAAGAACAAAAACAATACTTCAATATCCTTCAACGACCTCTTTGGTCAGTGCATATTACGTCTCAAAATAACATCTTTATGCCAACATTTTCAAAACATCCCAAAACATCCCAGGGATGTTTGTGCTCGCTGGGACACCCCGTTTCTTTTAACTGAAACTTTTTTTCTTATTTTAGTGCCCTTTAATGTATGCAATGTACTTTTTTCTTTCTCACCTTGTATATTATCTGAAATACAGGGTGTTTAATAACTACGGAACAAAATTTCAGAGGGGTGATTCGTCAGGTCGTTTTGAGACTAAAATTGTTGTTCTAAAATTGTTCTATCCGTCATTCGGTTGCCCCCTAACGAGCAACCCTCAGAAGTCTTACGAGAGTCTTGTGCGAGCAAGGAATGACGGGGGCCTTACCTTTTAACGTGTGATCCCAAACACTTTCTTGCAGTCGATGGGAATCGAACCCACGACCGTCAAGCGAATGCGGATTAGAATATAGACACTCTGTCCGCACGTCGGCTACCTGGCCTACCTGAATATACATATTATATAATAGTTCCGTTTGTCCGTAGTCGCTTCGATTCTGCGATACAAGACGATGAAAATGAGAAAAAACGATATATATGTAACATTATAAATAGCCTTGAACTAATCTGGCAACCCTGCAGCGGACAAAAAGTTTGTGTCTGTGGACGAGAAGTACTTTCGTTCGGAAATAGTCGGTTTTTCGTGCGAAAACTAGAACGTAAAATGTGATTTTTTTATGTAGAGGTCGAGGAAATATAGTTATTTATTATACAAGGGAAAAAAGTAGTAGATTTTAGCTCCAGGTTGTGTTGTCTCCCAACGCGTAGCGGAGGGAGACAAAAAACCGTGAGCTAAAATCTAATATTTTTCCCGTGTATAATACACTATTTTTTTCTGTGACAGAAGGAAGGACGAATCAATATTGAGAAGATATCACATTATTTCGAAATCTGAAAATTATCGACGTAAAATTTCAAGTTTTTAACAGTAGGGACACCTGCGTTTTATAGGCATCTTTATCATTCTTTTGAAGTAATCAAATATCTGATGTCACTTCTGTCAGTTCAATTCTGTGATTCGATTTTGAAAAATTGCGAATTCAGTAGTTGTTTAGTAATATACGAAACCGCGAAGTCCTATGGAAGATAAAAGGACTTGCAGTTCTTTCTCGGAGACGGTATTATTGACGGATTTTTCGGAACTATAGCACAACAAAAGCCATTAACAGAGTATATATATATGTGATATATATCCGGGAAAGAAGTACTCACTTTTTTCCCACGGGAAAAAAGTAATTTATGAAAAGTGACATTTTATAACCTGCCAACAGAGATGAAATGCCAAACTTTTTTCCCGTCACAGAAAAAATAGTTTTTTTAAATATCAAAAAATGTCTCTCCCATTTCTCTCAAACTTGGTACTTTTTCACTCCTTTTCTTTCGAGCTAGTAATTAAATTTGACATGATTAGTTCCCGCATGTTTTAGAAGGCAACTAAGTTGGAATCTGATACGCCCTGTATCTCAGAAAAGAAGCAACTCCAGATATACAGGGTTATGATAAAGTAATGCACAAAATTCATAAAACGTACAACGATCACTTTTGAAAAAATGCAAATACGTGTCAAACTGTTCTTTTTATTTCGCATCTTTTGACATAAGTTACAAAAATAACACGTCAAAGTTGTCAACGTTATGACGTCATCAACAATTTTTTTTAATGGGATGCTAAGATTTTTATTACATTATGTGATAGAGCTTGTGTTTTTACACAAGGGAAAAATAGTTGCAGTAGGGCTCACATAATGTAATAAAAATCTTAGCTTCCCATTAAAAAAATTTGTTGATGACGTCATAACTTTGACGTGTTATTTTTGTAACTTATGTCAAAAGATTCGGAATAAAAAGAACAGTTTGACGTGTTTTTGCATTTTTTCCAAAAGTGATCGTTGTACGTTTTATGAATTGTGTGCATTACATTATCATA